TTCAATTGGAATGTTCCCTTTATTGCATCTAGGCCATTCAGGAGCAGACAAAATGACAATCAAATAGTCATAAGTTGTTATAATTAGTTGTATTAACTATGATAATTTGCATGCAACTAGATGGTCTCAATAAATTGCAGGAAAGAAACCCCTTTCTTTTTTTTTTTTCCTTATTTGGTTTTATATTTATCCATAAAGAAATTGAAATTTGGATGTCCCACTATAATCAGTTTCTTCTTGTTTTCTCTATGTGAACTGTGCTATATGCAAATTGCTGTGTAATACAGAAGTCTTTCATAATCGATAGATAAATGAATATTTCTCATCATATTACTTTATTATAAATCCATGCAATTTAGGAATTCACTTTATTTGGCATCAATAAACAAAAAGACATATGTATGTATATACATATATATATTTGTATGCTGAATTGTACTTCCTTGTTTCTGTTTATAGCTGATGTCCTTATTCATACTTTTTCTCTCTCAGGTCCATGTTTGTTGACAAATTTTTACTATGGAAAGTGTTTCCTGTTTGTTGCCTGCGGTGGATCTTGCAATTTGCTGTTCTTGAATGTCCACCCATTACCAATTCACAGACAAAAGGTCATGAAACCACCAATGGTCTTTTAGACACAGTGCAACGCCTGACTGCAGTATGGTCAAAAAGAGACTTTGTACGATCAGCCCCAGTGGAGCAGCAAGCTTGTATCCTTCTACTTCCACATGCTAAATTGAAAGTTCTTAACTTGGTTAACAATTATTGAACATGCAAGTAGTAGAATCTTCAATTTTACTGTTGGGAATCAAAGTTTCATATATCATAGAATTAGTTCATCTTAGTCAAGGGTTCCATTTTACTTTCATGGAAATGTCATACCTTGTAGTTACTTTCTTCTAAACGTTCTAGACACCTCCAACCCTGCCTCCCCTTCCCTTTTCATTCCTTTTCTTGCCTTTCACTTTCCATGCTCCCTTTCCCCTTAACTAAAATACAGATATAACTGCAGCTGTAGGCCTTTGCCTGGAGAAGATGTCCAAAGAGGAACTAGATAAGACAAAGGATACGATGCACTCAATTCTTGAAGGAGTCAGCTGTAACTTCTTGTAACTTTTGCTACCGGATTATCTTGGATTTTAGCTGGTGGCTTAATTTTGCACTAAAAATCTTGTCTTTATTGTTGACAGGTAGACTGGAGAGCCCTGCAGACCTAGTACGAAAAATGGCTAGCACTATTGCTTTAGTATTCTCTAAAGTAGTTGACCCAAAAAACCCTCTATATCTTGATGATAGCTGCAATGGGGAGAGCATTGACTGGGAGTTTGGATTAACCACCACTGAGAAAGGGACCTTGTCAATCTCAAATGCAGAAAAGCAAGTTGATGAAACGGGGACATCAACCACCCTCACATTAACCAAGGACTTCACTTACCCAGTTGATGGTGGGAAAGGCAGTAATGTGAAGAGTAAAAGCAAGAAATCCTCTGAATTCAGTTTGGTTGATCCAGATGAGATTATTGATCCATCTACTCTAAATTATGAATCGACCTCTGATGAAAATGATGATGAGGATGCAAGTGAAAATTCTGATTCAAGTGACTCCTCTTTGCAGCCATATGACTTGACTGATGATGATACAGATTTGAAAAGAAAAATTTCACAGCTGGTTGATGTAGTTGGAGCCTTAAGGAAATCTGATGATGCTGATGGGGTGAGTTGTTTGAGTTCACTGTTCATTCTTTTCAGTTGTTATTCTAAGATTAGTGATCAAACTATTCAGGTTGTGGTATCTATGAGGTTTAAATTTTGATACTCATTATAAGGACTCTTCCAGTAAAAACTGTTAAAAATTTTGATATCAGCTACTTTATTGGGTTTTTTCTTTTCCTTTTACCCTTTGGGCAGCACAATTGACTTGCTTATAGCTTAAACCAATTTTAGAAACCATTTCAACTCCCTGGTTGTCGATTTTGTTGTGAAATTTTCCCTTGTTGGAATTTACATGACAGATATAGATTATTAGAGAAGGCGGTCAACTGATTTCTGGAGAATTTAACAAAAGAAACATAGACTTAATCAATTCTCTATGTTTTTACACTGCAGGTGGAGAGGGCACTTGATGTTGCTGAAAGTCTTATACGAGCATCACCAGATGAACTAACACATGTAGCAGGTGATCTTGGTCGAACTCTTGTACAGGTTCGTTGCTCTGATGTGACAGTAGAAGGTGAGGAAGAGTCAGCTGAAGAGAAGCGGCAAAGAGCTCTGATAGCATTGGTTGTCACACGTCCATTTGAATCTCTTGAAACTCTAAACAAATTATTATATTCACCTAATGTAGATGTTAGTCAACGCATAATGATACTTGATGTCATGACTCAGGCAGCTGAGGAGCTTGCCAATGCTAAAATTATGAAACCTAAACATCAAATAGGGCCTCTCATATCAACCATTTCAGAACCTCAACCCTGGTTCTTGCCTAGCAATGCGGGACCTCCGGGAGCTGGATCCTGGAGAGAGATCTCAGGTACAGGAACCCTTCTGAACTGGTCAAACCGATATGAGAGAGAACTTCCACTAAAGCCTGGTCAGTTAAAAAGAGGAAAGACACGCCGATGGAGCCTTAGATTGGGAAATATACAAGAAAACCAAATTGAATGGTCTCAGAATAAGTTTCCTCTATACGCAGCGGCATTTATGCTTCCAGCTATGCAGGGATTTGATAAGAAAAGGCATGGTGTTGATTTGCTTGGTAGAGACTTTATTGTCCTTGGAAAACTCATCTACATGCTTGGTGTTTGTATGAAATGTGCATCCTTGCATCCAGAAGCATCTGCATTGGCTCCCCCTCTTCTTGATATGTTAAGATCCAGGTACATCACTCATTATCAAAATTTAAATATTCTGTCACCATTCCAGATCCTGGAGGTAGCATTTATGAGATTAGCCAGCTAGTCTCTAGTGATACATATATATTGGCAAGCTAGTTGATCTCTTTAACATGGTCCTGATGGATGTATGTGTGTGCACACGCTTGTCTACATAAAAGAGGTGTCATGTTTTGGTCATTCAGTGGTGGTTTATGCTTATTATCCATAGTATTTCAAATCTTCAAATTTACATAATTTGCTAATCTGCCATTTACCCTGATTTTGTTAACTTAACTCAGGGATGTAAGTCATCACAAAGAAGGATATGTCAGAAGAGCTGTCCTTTTTGCAGCTTCATGTGTGCTTGTGGCTCTTCATCCCTCTTATATTGCATCTTCCTTGGCTGAAGGAAATCTTGAAATTTCTGAAGGGCTTGAATGGATCCGTACAAGAGCCCTTCAAGTGGCTGATTCGGATACGGATAGAGAGTGCTACACGGTAAGCAAAAATCCTATTGCATTTCTCAGCTTCATATGTAATTTTGGGGTGCATTTAACTTGCAATTTTTTTTGCTACAATCCTACAATGTTCCAATCATAATAAATAATTATATAAGAGTCCACCACTTATAAATGTGGATTTCATATAAAATTTTGATAGGCCTCGAACAATTCTGATTTTGATTGGATTATTGTAATGCAATAATTGTAGATGATATGCTTCATAATTTAAGAAGTTGGTTACAGGAGTTACGTCTCTCTGACTTACGTCGTTTAAGAACATTCTGACTACCATATTTTATTTATTTACTTGATTTATTTGAATCATTAAATTATTGTTGTAATGCAAATGCTTTTTCCATCACAGATGGCTGTATCATGTCTCCAACTACATTCAGAGATGGCCCTCCTGGCTTCCCGAGCGCTAGAGTCAGCAGAAAGTACATTCAAGGCCAAGAGTATTAGCTTGTCATCCAGTCAGTCCAAGGGAACAATCAAAATCCCCCACTTGAATGTTAAACACTAGATTCCTGTACAGTTGATATCATCAATAATCATAGTTATTTATGTGTCCATTTTACAGATGAAGAGTTTCATCATAATCATCATAACAAGTGAAACCCAGTTTTTCAGTTTTACAAAAAATTTTAATTTTAAAGAAGTTCCATGTATCCCCACTGGTTTTTTTGCTAAGGGGTTTTCATGTGCATGTTAAATGCATAGAATACTGTGAATTGTGATTGGTTCATTGGATGGCTATTAAAATCTTTGATAGGTGTATGGCTTTCTACACTGCATGGTTAGGTCAATGCAAGAGCGGCAATTCTTAATATTGCCTTGGTCCACGGTTGCATTTGCTTGAAAGATACCTTCAAACACATAATCCACCAAAGATGGCAAGAAGGAGAAAGAACCATTGACTGTGATGCAGATGCTTCGCCTGAGATAATACAGGTTTATCAAGCCTCAAGAGTCCATTTCCACATCACTGTGATTGAAAATTGTAACTATTATTTTGGCATGCTTTATGAAGTGCAAGCTTGATGATCTTTAACCTCTAAAAGCCAAACATTTCATTTCCTAGCTTTCTCTCGCAACAAATAATGTGTCAAAATTGGCCAAATGCACAGCGTGACTGGATTCTTAGTTCCCGTGACTAGGATCAAATCATGACAGTCTCAAATAAAAAAAAAATGTGTCGAAAGTTATCAGCACTGCAAACTTGTAATATTCCAACTGGTATTTTACCTTGACAAATGCTCAAGTACGGAAATTTTGACTAACTAATAATTTATGTTAGTCGATCCCTTCTAAGAAAACCATCAAAAGAGAAAAGGGGAAACCTCTGGATTTCCAAACAAAGCAATCACAGCAAGACGGAAAGAAATTATGGTACAGAAGAGTTCAGAACATTTGAGTGGTTTCTATACAACAAAGAAACGAGCGCAAAATGGATTAGCAAAGAATGTTTTTCACAGTGCTATTTCGCGTCATGACAATATTTATTTCATCGACATATTTTCCCACATCTAAGCTAATGTTTCTTTCATCGACATATGCTGATATACACCCACATCTAAGCTAATCTATCACATAAATCAAGGTTCATTGGCACAATGTATCATTTTTAAAACGAAAATGATAGATCAATCTGGTAAAACTAACAGAAATCACTTGCCAAAAGAATCAAGCCTCTCGCAAAAGCGTTCCACTCCTTCAGCATTGAACCAGTCTTTTCTCATCTGCAATGTAACAATGAAAAGTAGTACCTCATCACCACGCTTATAATCCACATTTGATAGAATATACAAGGAAGCAAAAGGAAAAACATACGAAGTAAGGGTAGCCTTCAATGCTAAAGTTCTCCGGAGCTCCTTCTACAAACAAATTTATGAAGTAGAGAACAAAATTTCCACATTCTTTACCATCTCTTTGCTGTGGCACCTGAAAAGATCAAGGGTAAAACAGATGTTAAGGATGATCACAACATCACCAACAGCTTGTACTATAATCACCTTTGGCACCAGAAGAGGAATTCGATAAATCATCTGCTTATTCTCGGGCCTGCCTTCTGCTCTATAAATGTCGAACACGAACCTGGTAGCAAGAAATACATCTTGGACTTTAGAAATTGCGCTATTTTACTCAACTAGGAATGCAAGTGTAGCAAATGAGTAACATACTTTCTTATATCTGGTTCAAGACGCCTTGGGTTTGCCATCAGTAGTGAATCCAGCAACAGCATACACGGTGTTCTGGTTTTTGACTGCAAACTTTCACCAAAATGGCAGAAGATCAAGAGGCTCCAATGACTCCTAAAGAGATACAGTTTCAAAATGATAAAATTCCATTCACTGCCAACCGAACAAGGCGTTTGATCACCATGATATTGACAATACTGACCAGCAAACTATCGGAACAAGAACGTATTTCTTTGAAAAGATCTGTTTCCTCTTAATCCAAGATAGAACCTTTTCTCGAAAAGATGTTTTCATGTACCATGCAAACCATTGACAGTCAAAGTATGCAAAGGAATTCCGCTTGTCCTCAGGGAAGCTGCTCCACAAATTCCTGAACATTTCAAAAATATATACAGAAAACTTCCAAAATGTTGAAAACAATGAAAATTATTTCTAAGCTATATAGCTTACTCCATGTAGCACTCAAATGCTCCAGAGTCTAGCCTCTTTTTTTGTTTAGATATCAAACTCTTGCACCTGACTCTTCCCTTTGATCGTGCACGACATGGAATGTTACCTAAAAAACATGGAGCAGTTAACCGAAACCCCTTATTTTTTGAGCTTCCTGTTTACTTATCTTCCTCTTGCAAGCCCTCAAAGAACATATAATATGTACCCAACACGAACGGTGTTTTGAAATCGGATACCGATTATACTCTGCCAGAACACAATGAACTTGGTATCAAACTTTCTATTTATCAATCAGCTCAGCCTTCCGTCAATTCATGTAAGAAATAAGTAGTCAAATGGTGGCCAAGGGTAATTTGATGTTCTATGAAATTGTCATGGAAGGGACCTGAAGAAATCAAATTACTTCATTCTCTTTCTTGCATTTCTTAAGATGATAACATAAATAGCAGAGTTAACAGGTAAAAACAAAAGCATTTGCTTTCTGCTTTCAAATAGTTGCTACAAACAAAAGTAAATTGATTAAAATCAAACAAACCACCAAAATGCAAAACCAATTTTAAGAAGATTATTTCATATAAAAGTCAGATCATACATTTTGTTCTCAAAATTTCAAAAATAAAAAATTACTACGATATTTTTAGTATATCTGATAATTTTAACAGGATACGAAAGCCGAAAAAACAATACCACTTAAAATTTTAACAAAAATCGTATATGAATTTAAAAAAAAAATGATGTTTAAATTTTGGTCATTAATTCTTTAAAAATATTTTTAATTTTTATCCTAATTTTCATATCCAAACACATTGTTTGCCTTTCCTTTTTTTCTAAAAAAAAAAAAAAACAAAACACCAACCAAAAAGAGCAGAGAAAATAAACCAATAAACAAAGGAAAGAAAAGGCAGAGAATTGAGCAGAGATACTAATACCAGGATCTGAAGAGGCGACGTCGATTGGTTTAGTGGGACCATCACCATGTTTTTTCTTTCCCATTGTTCGATTTTTCTATCAAACACAAGTGAAAAAGTACAACCTTAAAAAAAAAAGAAAAACTCTTTAGATTCTGCATCACAGTGTCAGTGTTCAACATGACAAGACAAAGAGTGAGCCCAAGGGTTCAGGTTCCCAACTTCGGTGCGTTTCCACTGTCTTGGACTGTACTTTTTTTCTACCAGCTTATCAGGACCGTTGATGCTGTGTCGGTCAAACCTGGGACTAGTATTTCCTGTAAACGGGCGGTCCAGATATTCTGTCTATTTTTGGCCAAATCAGAATATATTTGAAAGATCATTTTTTTCTTCAAATGGGCTACCCGATAAGTGCTTTTGGAGCAAATTTTAAGTCTTCGTAATCGGTTTAGTTAATCGAATAGGATATGAACGAAAGAAACTGTAATTTGTTTATTTATTTTTAAAAATATTTGAATTTATTGGTATTTAATAAAAAAATTATTTTATTTATATTTATTTATTTAAATAATAAATTATTTGTGTTCAATTTATATTCAATTTAATTAAATTAAATAAAATTATTTATAAGTATTAAACGAATATATTTATCAATACATATAAATAAATATGTTCATAAATATATATAAATAAATATATTTAAGAATAATAAATAAATTATAACTAAATAAATTTAAACAAATAATCACAAATGAATATAAACAAACTTAAATAAATATAAATAAATTTAAAATAAGATTAAAATAAATAATAAAAATATAATTTTATTAGTATTGTTATAAATAAATAGTAAACAAATAATCAACAAATAAATTTTAATCTAATTTATTTTATTTAGCTCATTTAATAAACAAACATTAAAATATTATTTAAAATTATTTGTTAAATTTAATAAATGAATAAAAATTGAATATATTTAAATAAAATTAGTTGAAAACTCTATTCATTTACGTACCTAATTTAATTTGATTAAATTATATTTCAAAGACAAAAAGTAAAAAAAACTCTAAATTAAATTTAATAATTATTTAAAATTTTATTTTTATCAACAATTAAAATTTTGAATATTTATTTTCATCAATTGAATTTTTATTAAAAAAATTTAATTGTTTTTGTTCAATGAGAACTTAATTAAGTCAAAATAAATATTTAAGAATTTAATTAATTTAAAATAAAAAATTTAAGATTTGATTAATTATAATAAAATAAAAAAATTAAATAATTATTAAAATTTAGCTTATAGATCTTTTTTATCCATTTACCTATTTAAATATATATATATGTATTTATCGGACAACAAATTTCACCCATGGAAAAAAAATATTTTTGCATAGTTTTAATTTTTTTTATTTAATAAATAAAATAATATTATATACATATATGTAATTATTTTATTTTAAATAATTACTATAATTTATTAATTTATCAAAGAGAAAAGAAAAGAAAAAAAGAGTAGCGCGTGGTGTTTCAATCCGGTATTTAGGTCCCCGAGGAGGCCTCTTTTCTGATTTCTCGTTTGCCAAGCAAAGTCAGAAAAGAAGCAGAACTCGTTTCGCTCCAACTCAGTGCCCACTCAATCGACTAACCATGGACGCACAAGAAGGAACTCAGCAGTCACAGCAACTCATCCTTGCCCACAACGTCTTCCTCCTCAAGCACCCAGACGTCCCTGACATCGAGAAGGTACGGCTCAAGGACGAGGTCCTCAATTCGGTCAAATCCAATGGTAACTCCCCCGATTCAACTCTTCTTTGCCGAGTTTATTATTCCGATTCAACTCTAACACGAATGCTTTATGTGTTTTTCGTGGTTGTGGCGGTTTTAGATATGACTCCATATTATGAAACCCTAGTTGCTGATAAAGTGGTGGAGCTGGATCAGAGCGTCTTTGACTCGATGCGTGCCAAGAATGAGGACGAGATTAAGAAGCTCGACGAGAAGTGAGTTTTTCCTTTTTTTTTTTTCCTTTACATTTCTTCCCCATTTTGTTTACTGATTGATTAAGTGTGATCGAAACTTTATCGTAGATTTTAGGTTTTCTGGTTTAATTGTTGATGGAAGTATAAGATTTTAGGTTTTTGGTTCACATTGTTAGTTAGGGTTTATTTAATGGCTAAAATACTAAAAGAGCCCTTAAACTATACCACTTTACTCATATAATTAATGAGAATATAATGTGGAATTTTTAGTCTAAAGTGAATTGACTGAACCCATTTCAAAAAAATAGGAAAGAAATGCATCTTGATGTTAGATGAATTGTGTTTTATTGAATTATGTTTAACCCAAACCTACCTTTTTGGCATTGTAGGATTGCTGATGCTGAAGAAAACTTGGGTGAAAGCGAAGTTCGAGAAGCACATTTAGCTAAATCCTTATATTACATTCGGATAGGTGAAAAGGTATTTATAATAGTGGCTTATTGCTCTTCTATTTATGTTTTAATGCTATTTTTTTTCATCTTGACTTATGCCCTTCTCGATCTAGGAGAAAGCATTGGAGCAACTAAAGGTGACAGAAAGCAAGACGGTTGCTGTTGGGCAAAAGATGGACTTGGTGTTCTATACGTTGCAGATTGGCTTTTTCTACATGGATTTTGATCTTATTTCCAAGAGCATTGATAAAGCAAAAAAGTACATAATCATATGGATTAACAATATCCATTAATTTTGACTTCTGCATAACTTGATATGTATGCCTTTCACTTATTGCTGCTCCTACTTTGATGCCAGTTTGTTTGAAGAAGGAGGTGATTGGGAGAGGAAGAACCGTTTGAAGGTGTATGAAGGCTTGTATTGCATGTCCACTCGAAACTTCAAGAAGGCTGCCAATCTATTTTTGGGTTCCATTTCGACCTTCACAACATATGAACTTTTCCCTTATGACACATTCATATTTTACACTGTGCTTACAAGCATCATATCATTGGATAGAGTTTCCCTAAAACAAAAGGTATTGTGGAGTTTCCCTCAATATTGTTGTCCTATGTCTTGTATTGCTTATTATTTGGGCCAGTCAAAGTTACTGAATGGATAATGTTGTAGGTGGTTGATGCTCCTGAGATCTTGACTGTTATCGGAAAAATTCCATATCTTTCGGAATTTTTGAACTCTCTTTATGATTGTCAGTACAAATCATTCTTCTTAGCATTTGGTACGTATAGGTCTAATAATTTTTTTATAACTTGATATAGAATTGTCACTTTGTCCTGATATCTATCCCTTCCTATCTAGTCCCACTGTTTTCCTAACATTTATGAGTTATGTCACATTTGATAAAAGCTAAAATTTCTTTCACTGATCAATCAATTCGTTCAATTTGTTTGAATTATATATCAGCTGGCCTGATGGAGCCGATAAAATTGGACCGCTATTTGCATCCACATTTCCGGTTCTACATGAGGGAGGTCAGAACTGTTGTTTACTCTCAATTTCTGGAATCCTACAAGAGTGTTACAATTGAAGCCATGGCAAAGGCTTTTGGGGTGACAGTGGAGTTCATTGATCTGTAAGTGATTACATCCAATGACCTCCCTATTTGGTTGTAGACCTTTTTCCCCTATTTCTCATCATCGCTGTTAAAATTGCTTGAGTTTGTTTAAGGCAACTTCTCATTTGATTTTAATATGGCAGTATTAAATATCCTGCCCTGGTATGATTGTTTCTCTTCCATGATTCCAGGGAGCTATCACGTTTTATTGCGGCAGGGAAGCTTCATTGCAAGATTGACAAGGTTGCCGGTGTTCTTGAAACTAATCGCCCTGATGCGAAGAATGCTCTCTACCAGGCTACCATTAAACAAGGAGACTTCTTATTAAACCGGATCCAGAAGTTGTCTCGCGTCATTGATCTATGAAGTAGTTATGCACATCTTCTGATTTAGAATCGAATAACCAACTTTTTCAAGTTTCAAAGAAATATGGAAAACATAGAGTAATGCTTTTGGATGTTTTCTCATTTCATGATTGTGATACTCCATTCCTTTGTTTCCTTTCTTTTTTCCTCTTTAGGCCAATGAATGTGATGCTACTGAGCTTCCAAAGTTTAATTTGTAGCGTTGTCTGTTGTGTTCTTATTGTGTCTGTGTCTGATGATTGGGGCGTGGAACTGTGGTTTTTCAAAACCACTGATTTGCAGACGCTTTTAGCAGAACTTGGTCCTGTTTAAGTTGGTTACTTTACTTTTTCCAGCATTCATGAGATTTGTGGGTGAAGTTGCAGAAGCTGAATCTCAAATGGACCCACCTTATCTAAGCCTTGGGTTTGAGTTTGGTGACCACTAGCAGGGGCCAGGACTGTAGACGCCCAACCTCGCTAGCCCTAGCCCTGGTTTACCATTTTTTTAAATGGTTCAGCAAAAAATTTTCTTTAGAAAGTGTCCAACCTATCATTAGGGCCTAAAACAAACAGCGTAGGTATCGGTTTATTATATAATATCATTCGAACATCTATATCATATAAAATATTAAAATTTATATATTTATATTATATTTTATGTAAAAATTATATATTATAATTTAAGTTGATATAAAAATATTAAATTTATATATAATTGTTGTCAAAATTTTAAATGATGTCATTTTTATGTTTAATATTGATATTATATTTGTATCATATCATTATGTCATATTTAAATTTATTTCAAATAAAATGTATTTAGTTAGTTTATATATATAAGTTTGTTTATAAATTTATTTATAAATTGATTAAAAATTTAGTACTATTTGATAATAATAAAATATTATATTTTTTATTATTTTATTTATTATTGATATATTTATTTACATAATTAATTATTTTAAAGATATTAATTGAAAATTGATTAACTTGTTTAAATTATTTGTTTGTTTGCATATTTTTTACTGTTTACAAACTTTTTTAATTATTTATAAACATATTTAATTATTTATTTATAAATATATTCTTTTAATATTTACAAATAAATTAATTTAATTTAAACAAACATAAACCAATCAAATATTATATAAATTATTTTTAACGAAAATAAATTAAACAAATAATCTTCAAAATAAATAAAACGATCATGAACGTAACTAATCGGGAGAATGTGAGCCCTAAATTCAACAGGTAAAAGCCAAAAATAAAGATAGAAAATGAAAAGGTCCCACATTTATTATAGTTATTGCATGCAATGGGTATTATTTAAAAAGAAAAGTTTAGATAAAGTTTTTAAGGTGAAATTCATAAAATTTTTTATTAAAAATGATTAAATAAAAATAAAAATTGATAATTGAAAATTAAAAATTAAAAATTGAAAATTTTCATTATATAAATTAAGTGTGTAAAATTTGATATATATTTTAATAAATCTTGATATAATCTTTTAGATAGTTATTTTGAATAAAAATATTGAGAGAATTTTTATCGTTGAATAATTATTGATCAAATTTAAATTACAAATAATATTAATAATATATTTTTTATATATTATCGATTTTTATATTAAAATTTATCAATTAATGAATTTAATTTTTTTATTAAAATTTTTATTAAATCATTTTTTAAAAAATTTCATAAATTTTATCTAAAAAAATTGATTTAAGTTTTTAAATCCTATAAAAATCATTAACAACTTTTAATCTTGAACAAAAGTACAAAATCTCTTAATCACAACAGAAAAATTTCAACATCTAGATTTGAAAACTAACTCTGAGTGTCACAGTCCACACCAACTTAACTAACTCTGAGTATCATGGTCTACATTAACTTGTGAGATATTATCTGCTTAAGCCTATTAGATCTTACGATTTTATTCTACAAAAGAGTGTGAACACTGACATCCCAAAACCAGCTTTAGTACACAGGTTGGAGTGCCATAGAAAAATTTTAGAACTGTCCCTGCACTAGGAAAATTTCAACATCCAAATTTAAAAACTGACCCTGAATGTTACAATCCACACTAACTTGTGAGGTATTGTCTGCTTTGATTTATTAGGCCTCACGATTTTGTCCAAAAAAAGGGTTTCAGGTGGTACGAACACTTATATCCTAACACCAGCTTTAGTATACAGTCGATGTGGGATTCATAGCTCTTTACCAAAACTATGACAACCGATCCAATGAAGGCCCACAATCTATAGTGGCACATTGCTAATACCCCACTCTAGTATACAGTCGATCCAATGAAGGCCCATCATCTTCGGTGGCACATTGCTAGTACCCTATTCTAATACACAATCGATGTGGGATTCATGGCTCCTTACTAGGACTATGATAGATTCCCTCACTCCAACGAAGGCCTACCATCAATAACTCTTCACCAGGACTATGACATATTTCCCACTCCAATGAAGACCCACCATCCTAAATGACACATCGCTAGTGCCCCATTTTAGTACACAACTGATGTGGGATTCATGGTTCCTCACCAGGACTATGACATTTGCCTCACTCCAATGAAGGCCTACCATCCCTAGTGGCACATCGCTAGTGCCCCACTCTAGTACACAACTGATCTAACAAAAGCCCATCCTTGGTGGCACATTGTTAGTACCCCACTCTAGTATACATACCATCCCTTGTCGGTGGTACATTGCTAGTACCTTACTTCAGTACACAACTGATGTAAGATTTATGGCTCTTTACCAGGATTATGATATCTTCCCTTACTTCAATGAAGGCTTACCATCTTTAGTGACATATCATTAGTGTCTCACTCTAGTACATACCCGATCTAACGAAAGTTTATTATTTTTAATGGTAAATTATTAGTACCCTATTCTAGTACACAGCTGATGTGGGATTCATGGCTCCTCACTAGGACTATGAGATCTTTCCCCTACTCCAACAAAGGCCCATATTGTTATTACTTCACTCTAGTATATAGCTAATGTGAAAATTTTTCCCCACTCTAATGAAAGCCTACATTGTTAGTACCCTACTCTAGTACACAACTGATGTGAGATTCATGACTTTTACCTGGCTCCTTACCAAGACTATAACTTCTTCCTCCATTCTAGCGAAGGCCTACCATTCTTGATGGTATATTGCTAGTACTCCACTTTAGTGCACAGTCGATCCAACGAACACCCACCATTCTCGATGGGTGGCACATCACTAATACTCCATCTAGTATACAGTTGATGTGGGATTCATGGCTATTCATCAGGACTATGACATTTTTTTCACTTTAACGAAGGCCCATCGGTACCTTTAGTACACAGTCGATATAAGATTCATGGCTCTTCATTAAGACTATGACATATTTCCCATTCTAACGAAGACCCACCATCCTTGGTAGCACATCACTAGTACCCCACTCTATACCACACCATCTTTTATTGCATATCACTAGTACCTTATTCTAGTACACAGTCGATGTAAAATTTATGGCTCCTCACTAGGACTACGACATCTTTTCTCACTTTAAGGCCTACCATCCTCGGTGGTACATCACTGGTATGAACACTTATATCTTCACTCTAGTACACTTACCATCTTTGGTGACACATTACTAGTATGCCATTTTAGTACACAGTCGATGTAGCGTTCATAACTATTTATCAAGACTATGACATGGTACATCACTAGTGTGAATGCTTATATCTCCACTCTAGTACACATATCACAGATCTAAGGAAGAGTCTTGAATCCCACATCGAACATAATAGGAGGATCACTGGGTATAAAAAGGTTCACACTATCTCTTTCTTGTGAAACACCTTTTGTAAGATAAAATCATGAGGCCAGGGGGTCAGAGCGGATAATACCTCACAAGGTATGAACCGTGACAGGTAGGTTAATCTGGGACATCGAAAGGGTGAATGCCCAAATCTCGAAGCCACGCGGGTTCAGAGTTTAAGTCTCGACCTGTGACAAGTGGTATCAGAGTCAGTCTTAAACCGTTCGATCCACGCCAAACACCTCAAGGGAGGTAGGCAGGGTGATCAGCCTCCGTGACGAGGACGTTACGAGTTGGGTGGTAGAGAATGTCATGGACCTAAGGAGGAGTCCTGAATCCCACATCGAAACATAATAGGAGGGTCACTGGGGTATAAAAGGGTTCACACTATCTCTTTCTTGTAAGGTACCTTTTGTAAGATAAAACCGTGAGGTCAGGGGGCCAGAGCGGACAATACCTCACAAGGGTGTGAACTGTGACAGGTAGGCTGATTTAAGATACTGAAAGGATAAATGTCCGGGTCTTAAAATCGCTTGGATTCAAAGTTTAAATCTCGACCCGTGACACACACACCATCCTCAGTGGCACATCGTTAGTATCCCACTATAATACACAATTATGATACATCGTTAGTGCGAACATTTATCCTACTCTAGTACACTCACCATCCCTGGTAGTATATTACTAGTACCTCACTCTAGTACATAGTCGATATGAGATTCATAACTTTTCACTAGGACTATGACATGGTACATCACTAGTGTGAACACTTATATCCCTACTTTAGTATACACACTATCCTCGATGGTACATCACTAGTGTGAACACTTATATTCTTACTTTAGTATACACACCATTATCGGTGATATATCGCTAGTATCTCACTCTAGTACATAGTCGATGTGAGATTTATGACTCCTCACCAAGATTATGACATGATACATTGTTAGTGTAAACACTTATATCCCTATTTTAATACACATACCATCCCTGGTGGCACATCACTAGTACCCCACTTTAATACATAGTCAATGTGAGATTCATAATTCCTTATTAAGACTATGACATCTTCTTCTCGGTGGTATATTGCTAGTGTGAACACTTGTATTTCAAGATTAAATTTATTTCACAGTTAATGTGAGATTCATCACTCCAAGACCTACCATGAAATATATCTAGTGTGACCATTTATATCCCCACTTTAGTACACATACCATCCCCGATGGCAAATTGCTAGTACTCCACTTTAATACATAGTTGATGTAAGATTCATGACTCCTCACTAAGACTAAAACTATGACATCTTCCTTCTCAATGGTACATCGCTAATGTGAATACTTATATCTCAAGATTAACTCTAGTATACAGTTAATATGATATTCATCTTTCCTTACTCTAAGGCTCATTATCCCAGGTAGTACATCGCTAGTGTGAATAATTATATCCTAAAATCAATTATAGTATACAGTTAATGTGAAATTCATTTTTCTTACTCAAAGACCCATTATCCCCGAGGTACATCATTAGTGTAAACACTTATATCTTAAGATAAATTTTAATACACAACCAATATGAGTATGGTATATAACTCATCTTCTCTCACTCTAAAACCCATGATTCTTGATGGTACATTGCTAGTATGAACACTTATATTTCAAGACCAACTCTAGTATATATTTTAAGGCCTATTATCTTTGAGATTTATTTTTTCTCACTCTAAGGCCTACCATCTCTGTTGGTACATTGCTAGTATGAAC